TCTGCGTTAAATGGTCTTGGATAAAATACACTCCACTAAACCAGATCAAAGAAACCATGCAGGTATCTTCAAGTAATGCAAGTTTCAACATCACCGTAAGAATTCAGTGGCATTGTCCGCGAAACATAAAATAATCTACTGCATGCAGTATGTGCATTAATGACTTGCCAGTTTGACCAGTACATTCGATTCAATCAGAAGTATTTAACGCAAAGAATTTCCCTTCTTTGCCTTCGCGGAGACTAACATATCAAACCACTAAAACATGATACTTCGAAGCATCACAAGAGAGCATGCTGGGATACTTGTTCTTCTTGGATGCCGAGCAAGCACAATGCCCATCTTATTCACTAATTGCTTGATTTTCAAGTTTCCTAGTAATCACAGCATCACGCTGAATTTCGTTCTCACGAGCCGCTGGTATTTCTAAACAATGCGAACAGTTTGTCACATAGACTTCATTCCTGTCATGACAGCGGCACTGAACGAGCGCTGTGTTGATAATATAGCCGTTGTTATTTCGCTGGAAACACTATGCAAATCACTCTCGGTTAGATCACTAGTGAAAACACGTTCGGACTCAGTCGATCAACTAGTTTTTCAGGTTGAATCCCGAAAAGATTTATTATCATGTATATAGGGGATACTAAATCACCGTAACTTTTATTTATCTATCATTTATAGAAGAAAATAAGAATTATTTTTAGATAGCAACAAATGTTTTTTCGACTCAAAGTGACTTTTTCCAGCGATCAGTCACATGAATAAAAGTTTAGATGAACTTTATTTGCACGTGAATGTTTGTAATACAGTTTCTAAACCACTAGTCTGACAATCATTTATAGGTTACTATACACATGTTGAACTGCCAATGGTTCTGTTGGAGCAGATGTAATAAGTTTTATTTGAAGACTAGGTAATATTGCGAAAATACTTATAAATAGTATGGAACTATAAATGGAATCGTGCCAAAGTCTATTTCTTCCTGACAGATACTCCGACGTGTTGTAAAGGAGACAGAACCAAAGTTTTAAATCGCAAGCGAATGATATTTTACAGCCTCAGCTACCAACTATTTAACATACATTTTGTATTTATTCAATCAAGTTCGTAGAGAAAGTCCCGAAAAGGTTGGATAACGCAATAGATAACATTGTGAGCTGATAAGTTGAATAAAGTAATGTGCACAGGTAAATTAGGAAGCCTAAAGCCATTATAGCAATGTCCTTTTACTGACGAGGGTTAAGAGGCACAATAGCAAGAAAGACACTGTCACAGTAATCTGCACGCTATCGTTTTTCATCACCAATGGACAGCAGGCAACGAGGTTTTGTGCTGTTTAGACTGTTGTGCGTATCGTTGGCCTGTTCTCCTGGCAGTAGGAAAAGCAGACATAGAGACTGGAGTCCTAGGACACATACTGAAAAAAAAACAACGTCGTAGTGGGGGGTGTTGTGAACGGGTACAGTACCCGACGTAGGCGGAGCCAGCAGGAGACAGGATAGCACGCGCAAGCAGTCGCGACTGCACACCGCGAGTCCGACAGCTGCCTTTCCGTCAAACTGACTCGATCCCCCCACTATGGCGCAGTTGCCCTCCATCGCTATTCTTGATCCCGATTCGAAAACTCTGCTCAACAGGCTCAACATTCGCCTGAACGAGATCGACTTGAAGCTTAGCATCGTACTCGAGTTACTCGCCACGCGGCTACCAGACCAAAGGTGAGCAGTGCCGTTACTTCTTCAGTCATTTGTTGTTCCTTTCATTCAGCTTTCCGTTATCTCAGCCCCGTTTTTTTTTGCTTCTAGGTAGATTGTGTGCGAGTATATAGTAAATTCTGCTTCATATCCCAAATTTGTTCCAGACTCACTAGTATATTGGCATCTCCACCTCAAACTCTCATTTCCGAAGCTTCTCCACAAAGTTTTACTGCTATGGCGGGCAATTCGACTTCAGATAAAACTACGTCACCAAAGGTCTACAGACTAAAAAATCAAAATCTATAGACTTCACTGCGTCATTTTAAGATGGAGTGCAAGGATGATTCAGACGGGGATCTCGACATGGAAGGGGATAATGAGAATGATGCGGAAGAAGATTTTTGCGAACAGGATCAAGCATCGAATGCTGCATCCAGAGAGGTCACACAGCTGATCGTTCGCAAAGTTATGTATAATCGAAATTACTCAATTTTAGCAGGATGCAAAACCGTCATTTTCTGACGGTCCGTTCCCGGAAGGAGCAGTAAAGAGGGCGGCTGAAAAGGCCGCTAGAAGCTTTCAGAGCACACAGCCTAAGGTAGTACTTCTTGTTTAATTCTTGTTTCTTTTGCTTGTGTTCATTCTTTCGTTATTTGTTTCTTCTTCTTTTCAAACCTGTTCCATCTTCTTCATGAGTCAACTAAGGTAACAAAACTTCTATTCTTTACCGGTAAACTACAGGCACATCCCGTAGTTTGGCGTTACCGCACCTTTTTTGAACACTAATATCCCAGGAAAAAAAA